GGTGGAAGAGTACGTGGAGAACGGTTTGGCGCCAGACCTACATTAATATTTCATCCACATTTTTTTTCTTTTCTAAATTTATTTATTTACCTTTATGCATTTCATAGCTGGAACAGATTGAATTTCTAAACAGGATTTAATATCCTGCACTCGGTCTGAATACTAATTCCAACTGTATTCTCATAAACGTTTACTGTTCAAAAAAAACAAACAAACGTTCAAGTTATTAACAAATTTTTCTACAAAATTAATTATTACGGATTTAGTAAACTAAATTCGAGAAGATTATCATAAATTGAATTATGAACTAAGTGCATTCAATAAGTGTAATTTACAATTTAGATTTTTTTGTTGTGTTGTCTTTATGAGTGTCTTTATGATTGAATTTCTAAACAGGATTTAATATCCTCCATCCGACCTGCATACTAATTCTATAAAATAATTCGTTTTTCTATTTTTATATTTAGTGTTTTAGTATGTGATAAGTGAAATCCTTTATCGTAATCAATTATTTTTATTTATTTCTTATTTAACTAATTGTTAAGTTTCTAGTTTAAGTTATATAGTATAAGACTAAATATTAGATCTACTTTATAGGATAATCGATTCAGGACTATTGGAAACCGGACTAATTGAATGCACTTGATAGAGATTTATAAGTAAATTACTCTATTATTGTGGTTAGTGCGATATAAATTCAATTTGCGTCAATAATTTCATTATTTATACTGTGGTTAATAAACATTCTGTGTAGACTATAAATAATAAGTGAATATAAATCGCTTGTAGTCGTAATACAGAATGCGGGGCGAATGAATTATTTGATGTGTTTTAAATTCAAATCAATTAAATCGTAATACAGAATGCGGGGCGAATGAATTATTTGATGTGTTTTAAATTCAAATTAATTAAATCTGTTTAGTGATAAATTTAATTAGAAATAATAATAATCTATAGATAAAAACTATAATATTGTCATTTGTTTAATTTTTTAGTGAAAATATGTTTGTTTCATAGAAGACTTGATTATGTTTTTGAAGTTTTAAAGAATGTAATCAATTTTACACGATTGGTCAAATTAATTAAGCAAATGTCTCTAGAATTAGTGTGAGTGTGTGTGTATTCTCTAATGCGGGACATAAATTAGTTTGGATCGCTTAGAATTAAGCAAATTGTTAATAATTAACGTGAAATGATTTACGTGTTTACTTCTTGCATCGAATAAAGAATGAAGAAGTTATTTTAACAGGAACATTAAGGACAAAGATACGCAAACTTCTAAGAATATAAAAAAAACTTAATGATATGCGCGCACGTTGCGCAACGTTAAGAGTTCTGGAATTAAAAATGATTAATTGGCGGAATTAATTGGCCGTTTCATTTGTAACAAATTTGTAAGTTGTGGCGTGCAATAAATTTTAAAAGCTTAATTGATGGAGAAAGAGGACAACGGGTGTCGTCTTTTCCAGCTTGAAGACGAATTTCAATTACAAGAATGAAAATTATGCATTTTGTAATAATGATAATGATTATGGAAAGCCCAGATCCTGCATTAAATCAAAAACCAACAGCACACGAAGAACGACCATCTGCCATCAATTCGTTAATTAAAAACTGAATTAGGTTTTACGATTAATTGAGTAATTAGAATGTAAAATTTACGTGAATTTAATCATAGATTTATTGTATAGAAAAGATGAATTTAAAGGGAATTTTAGTGATTTGTCGAAAAAGCAAAATTTTAGTAAAATAAATGATAAAATTTTGCAATTTTTCTTAATTAAGAACTTACTTTTTCTATTTCGTGAATTGGATTGCATTAAGTTTATTATTAAACATATTTAAGTGATTAAGATTGTTTGTTCAAAGAGAAATTTGTTGAATTTTGATTTAATTAAAAAAAAAAACTCCACTTCCAAAGTGCGTGTGCAACGTAAAAGGGCGAAACCAAAAACACGAATTTCTTTTTTTTTTGCAAAAAAGGAAGAAATTTCAATTTTCCGCTTGATAATCGTGTAATTTTTTCTATCACCTTTACTTCTTTTTTTCTCTCTCTTGGTGAAGAGCAAGTTTGAGCAAATTCGATGTGAAATGAAAGAATAAAATCAATGATCCGCTCCGATGGGAGAGACGGTGGGGAGGGGGGGGGATGGTTTCAACCTTTGACGTCTCATTTGAGGAGCGTTTAAAGCGTTCTTCTTTTTTTTTTCGTCGGCGTAATTGCACCTCCTACGTAGATGCGTGCGCAACAAAGACGAAAAGGGGGCGTGTGCAAGAAGATTCGCGTCCTGAATGAGGAAGAGTGGAAATGATGATCGAGAGAAACTAAAAAAACAAGAAGTAACGGCGGCAGGAGGAAACGATGAAATTGTTGGTGGGGAGAGTAGGAATGTCAACTCTCGCCTACATGCGGCTTCCACGGCCTCCTAAGAAACTGGTTGAGAAAGAGCGTACTTAAGTGTGTATAATACTTGAGCATTTATCGCGCGTCCTCTTTGTTCGCTTCACTGTTTTTTTTTCGTTTCGTTTCGTTTCAATCGCGTGGGTTTATTGCTTCTTTCGTCGCGTCGCGTCGCGTAAAAGAGGTGTGCGAGCACGCCCCGCCCTTTTTTCCCGCGCGTGGGCGTTTCCCGAGCAATGCCATTTCGATTGGGAGCGGAGCCAACCAGCGACGGAGGCGGAGCGAGGCGTGGCGCACCAATCGCAGCGGACGCTCACCCCCACTCCCTGAACCCCGGTTGACCATCGAAGGTTTTCCCTGTTACGGGAGCGTCGGGTCGAGTGGTCCATCAAGTTATTATCTCGAAAGTGTTGCAGACGGTAGCATGCGGCTTACAACAGTTTAGTCCTGCTAATAACTCATCATTTTCACACATATCCCAAGGATTTCTTTGCTTCAATTTTTACGTTTTTTTTTTTTGGAACGACAAAACGATTAAAGTTTACCCAAAGTGCGCAGTTGTTTAGTGTGTCCGTGTGTCTCGAGTTGTTGAATAAGAGAAATTAAAATAAAGGATACTTACCGAATCGCGAGTGCGACGGACCATATGGTGTAGGTAGCTGAAGCCGTCGGGTTTCCTTTCCACCTGCAGATTTGTTCGTGCTCTGTTCTTGTGCAAACTTGGATTCTGGAAGTGATGATGTGTTCGTGGTAGCAAATATTGCAAAGACATGCGTTAGCTGTGTCGCTCTCATATATATATATACACACATAAATAAATATATAGATAAGATTAGTCACGGTTAGTCAGATGAATCTAACAATGATGCCTCTCGCACCGACCCCAATAGTCGCGGTGCCGTCGAAGCCGAAGATCGGCTTCTCCATAGACTCGATCGTCGGCGGCGCGAGTCAACCGAGTCCGCAGCACTCGCCGATCCACTACTCGGAGAGTTCGGCCCCGCTATCACCATCGAGCGATGCGGAAATCAGATTGAACGGAGGCGGCGTTGGATCATCTCCGAAACATCATTACTCGTCGTCGCCCCAGGTGTCGCCGCAGAGCTCTCCGAAGCCGCCCATCATGGTACCCGGAATACCGGCGCACACCCTCGTCCGACCTAGTCCCACCTACGATCCGAATCTCGTCTCCAAGAACGGCGGAGGCGGCGGTTTCATGCAACCCGAGATGGTCCATAACCACGGTCAGCATCCCTTCGCCTTAGCCGCACATTTCCAGGGTGCCGCGTTGGCGGCGGCCCTCAGCTCCGGTCAGCACGGATTCCCGCAACCGTCGCCGCTCACCACACACTCGCAACCGAGAGACAGCTACCCTCTATATCCGTGGCTACTTTCGCGGCACGGACGGATATTCCCGCACAGATTTCCAGGAGGTAAGTCACAACAAACACTTCACTTTAGAGAAACGTCACTTTGATAATAACAACGCGTAACCATAGAAACAATCAACAATCAAAGAGCGCTACCAACATCAAATTGACGTGCAAACTAATAAGAGCGAATCACAACATCAAAAATTAATTTACACTTAATAATAATCCATAAATTAAACTAACTTAAGTTTGTCAATAAATGAATTGAACTAATTATAAAACTGATTCAATTAAAAAAAAGAAAAAATAGAACAAATTACTTTGATCATAACTGTTTTTGTTTGTTGTTTTTTTTCCATCATATTGATAAACACTTTTTTTGTTTGTGTTTTGTTTAATATGACATGAAGTTGATAATGATAAGGACAATTGAAAGAACGTTTTACATTGATCAAAAAATAATATTTTGAGTTTGAATTTTGTTTATTAATTAATAAACATATTTGTTAATTGAACTAAATGAATCAATTAAAAACAAGTGGAAAGTAGTTAAAATTATAGATGAAACGAATCCACAAATCGAAATTTGTTTCAACGATAAAATGATATGAAGTTGATAATGATAATGACAATTAAAAGAACGTTTTACATTGATCAAAAAATAATATTTTGAGTTGTTAACATCAATTCTGTTGATTAAATAATAAACATATTTGTTAATTAAACTAAATAAATCAATTAAAAACAAGTGGGAAGTAGTTAAAATTGTTGATAAAATGAATCAACAAATCGAAATTGGATTTAACGATAAAATGAGATAAAGTTGACAATGATAATGACAATGACAATTAAAAGAACGTTTTACATTGATTAAAAACTAATATTTTAACTTTTACGTGTATTAATAAACATATATGTTAATTAAACTAAATAAATCAATTAAAAATCAAGTGGAAAGTAGTTATAATTATTACTAAAACGAATCCACAAATTGAAATTTGTTTTAACGATAAAATGACATGAAGTTGACAATGATAATGACAATTAAAAGAACGTTTTACATTAATCAAAAAATAATATTTTGAGTTTTTAACATCAATTCTGTTTGTTAATTAATTAACATATTTGTTATTTAAACTAAATAAATCAATTAAAAAACAAGTGGAAAGTTGTTAAAATTATTGATAAAACAAATCCACAAATCGAAATTTGTTTTAACGATAAAATGACATAAAGTTGACATTGATAATGACAATTCAAAGAACGTATTACATTGATTAAAAACTAATATTTTAACTTTTACATCTATTTGGTGTATTAATAAACATATTTGTTAATTAAACTAAATCAATCCATTAAAAGCAAATAAAAATGATTACTATAATGAATCCACAAATTGAAATTTGTTTTAACGATAAAATGACATGAAGTTGACAATGATAAGGACAATTAAAAGAAAGTATTACATTGATCAAAAATAATATTTTGACTTTGTATTTTGTTTATTAATTAATAAACATATTTGTTAATTAAACTAAATAAATCAATTAAAAAACAAGTGGAAAGTAGTTAAAATTATTACTAAAACAAATCCACAAATTAAAATTTGTTTTAACGATAAAATGACATGAAGTTGACAATTGTAATGACATTTCAAAGAACGTATTACATTGATTAAAAACAAATATTTTGACATTTATGTCAATTTTTTAATTACACATTTGCTAATTGAACTAAATCAATTGAAAAATTGATATGAAATAAATTAATGAATTTGTTTAGTTCAAATGATTTGTAAAAGAATTATCATGTTGAAAAGTTAAATGTACTTTTTAGTGGTTTACAGTTTAGAAACGGTCGTTTAAGTCAGTCAAATTCATTACCAAAATCGCAGATTTACTAACAAGAAATCTTCATAATAATATCTAGTACTAAAACCTGCAACTTTTCGAACGTAATTTTCCAATCTAATTTGTAAATTTTTCACCTTTAATCACGCTCGGACTTTCACATCTCCCTCCTCGCTGCAAACAGCGTTTCTCGCTTGCTTGATTTTTTTTTGTGCACTTTGCAAAGACACGAACAATTGACGCCAATCAAAAAACAAAAACGGTCAATAATAATAATATCTTTAACGGCCGATCTGATCTACTTTCAAATTACTTAATTAACTTCCAATTTATCTAATCTCCTAATAGATTTACGAGCGCGCAGAGATAAAAAAAAAAAAAAAAAAAAAAACGTTGAACAGAAAGACCAGATAATTACAATAAACAGTTTCAAATTAGTTCGCCTTCATTGTGAAACGCACACAAAATTGAATCAATCAAATTGAAACCGTGATTTATTCCAAAACTTTACGACTGAGTTTAAAGTGTTTAAGTAAGTTTAAGGAAGTTGGAAGATAAACGATACGGGGAATACAGTTAAAACTTCAATTAAGCAAATCATTTCCCTTTCATATATAGATGTACTGTAATCATCATTGGATGCTGCGGGATAATTAGGCTTAAGTGTATTGCTATTAATTAGACTAATTCGGGTTTCTTCGCAAGGAACAACAAGGAAGCGATTCGAGAGGTAATTTATTGCACGCAAATTGCAGCAGCAGCAGCAGAAACCTAGTCTGTCTTTACCTAATCGCATCCTCGAAAGAAAGAAAACGTTTAGTCTTTTGCTTCCTTTCGCAAAGCAAAGTTAACTTGATTATTTAAAACATGCAATTTGTAGTGTGCATCGAAGAAGGTCATGCGATCACTCCGATTCTTTTCGAAAGAAGGTCACATTTTATTGCAAAACATATTTTAGATGTTGATGAGCTCTTTTTTTTGGATGTAACTCGAGATGAAGATCATCATCATCATGCTAAGATGTAGATTGCGTTCATGAATTTGAGGAAAATTATGATAATTTCCCTCAACAACCGAAAACGCCTGTCGTCTCTTTTTTTCTTTGTTCGCGTTTGGCCTCTCGCAACGAAATTTTTCTGTTCCTCTTTTTGTGTTTTTGTGTTTCGTTTCGTTTTGGTGAAGAAGAGAGTTGATAGCGATCGTGAAAATGCCTTTCGGAGCACGGTAATTATTTACACATTAGCAGCGCACGTAATTATATCTCCGAGCTACCACCGTGTTATTATAACTTAACTCTTTGAAATTAATACTTTAATAATATAATTGCCCCCCTTTATATACACGTATATAAGAGCGAACGATCTGTGCAACACATTCCATCCATCCATCCGACGCATTTTCGAAACGCAGTAGACGAAAAGACCCAAAAAAAAAGTTCGCTTTTTTCTCTCTTTCTTTTCATCCTTCAAGCTCTTCAGTTTATGCAATAATTACACGGTTAAAATACCTGCCAAACCGAGCGGAAAGCCAACGGAATCGAAAGGAAGAAATAATGTACAAATTTTGAAAGAGGAGGAGGAACACGTTAATGATGGTAAAGACCGAAAAACGCTTTTATTTTTTTACTTGATCCACACACGAACTTCGAATGAACGTTTTTTTTTTCTTTGGTACGTTTAATTGCATAATTCGGTGCGTTTTCACTTCAATTTGTATGTAATTAATGAAGTTTTAAAAATTCTACGTTTTTTTCAATCAAAAAACACATTGGTTAACCTTCTGGAATGAAGAGAAAAAGAGTAATTCGAATATGAAGATGCTTGCGTTTGTATGTAACTAATGAAGTTTTAAAATGAAGAAATTTAACGTTTTTTTCAATCAAAAAACACATTGGTTTATTGGTGTTAACCTTCTGGAATGAAGAGAAAAAGAGTAATTCGAATATGAAGATGCTTGCATTTTGTATGTAATTAATGAAGTTTTAAAATGAAGAAATTTAACGTTTTTCTCATTCAAAAAAAAACACAAAATTTTATAGTACTATATCTTTGGTTTGTTAATAATCATTGGTTTGTCGTTGTTAACCTTCTGGAATGAAGAAAAAAAGAGTAATTCCAGTACGAAAATGCTCGCGTTTTTTATTATCAATGAAGCTTTGAAATGAAGAAATTTAACGTTTTTTCATTTAAAAAAAAAACAACTATGTAAAGTATTATATCTTTGGTTTGTTGATAATCATTGGTTTGTTTTTGTTAACTTTCTGGAATGAAGAGAAAAAGAGTAATTCCAATATGAAGATTCTCACGTTTTTACTTCAATTTGTGTGTTATTAAAGAAGCTTTGAAATGAAGAAATTTAACGTTTTTTTCAATCAAAAAACACGACTGTTTAAAGTATTATATCTTTGTTTTGTTGATAATCATTGGTTTATTTTTGTTAACCTTCTGGAATGAAGAGAAAAAGAGTAATTCCAGTACGAAAATGCTCGCGTTTTTACTTCAATTTGTATGCTATTAATGAAGCTTTAAAATGAAGAAATTTAACGTTTTTTTCAATCAAAAAACTCGATTGCTTAAAGTATTATATCTTTGGTTTGTTGATAATCATTGGTTTGTTCTTGTTAATCTTCTGGACTGAAGAGAAAAAGAGTAATTCGAATATGAAGATTCTCGCGTTTTCACTTCAATTTGTGTGTTATTAAAGAAGCTTTGAAATGAAGAAATTTAACGTTTTTTTCAATCAAAAAACACGACTTTTAAAGTATTATATCTTTGTTTTGTTGATAATCATTGGTTTATTTTTGTTAACCTTCTGGAATGAAGAGAAAAAGAGTAATTCCAGTACGAAAATGCTCGCGTTTTTACTTCAATTTGTATGCTATTAATGAAGCTTTAAAATAAAGAAATTTAACGTTTTTCTCATTCAAAAAACACGATTGTTTAAACTATTATATCTTTGCTTTGTTTATAATCATTAATTTGTTGTTGTTAACTTTCTGGAATGAAGAGAAAAAGAGTAATTCGAATATGAAAATGCTCGCGTTTTTACTTCAATTTGTATGCTATTAATGAAGCTTTGAAATGAAGAAATTTAACGTTTTTCTCATTCAAAAAACACGACTGTTTAAAGTATTTTGTCTTTGGTTTGTTGATAATCATTGGTTTATTGTTGTTAACTTTCTGGACTGAAGAGAAAAAGAGTGATTCGAATATGAAGATTCTTGCGTTTTCACTTCAATTTATGTGTAATTAATGCAGCTTTGAAATGAAGAAATTTAACGTTTTTTTCAATAAAAAAAACACGAAATATTAAAGTATTAAATCTTTGTTTTGTTGATAATCATTGGTTTATTGTTGTTAACCTTCTGGAATGAAGAGAAATAGAGTAATTCGAATATGAAAATGCTCGCGTTGATACTTCAATTTGTATGTTGTTAATGAAGCATTGAAATGAAGAAATTTAACGTTTTTTTCAATAAAAAAAACACGAAATATTAAAGTATTGTATCTTTGGTTTGTTGATAATCATTGGTTTATTATTGTAAACCTTCTGGAATGAAGAGAAAAAGAGTAATTCGAGTACGAAAATGCTTGCGTTTTCACTTCAATTTGTATGTAATTAATGAAGTTTTAAAATGAAGAAATTTAACGTTTTTTCAATCAAAAAACACGACTGTTTAAAATATTATATCTTTGGTTTGTTGATAATCATTGGTTTGTTATTGTTAATCTTCTGGAATGAAGAGAAAAAGAGTAATTCGAATATGAAGATTCTCACGTTTTCACTTCAATTTGTGTGTTATTAAATAAGCTTTGAAATGAAGAAATTTAACGTTTTTTTCAATAAAAAAAACACGAAATATTAAAGTATTGTATCTTTGGTTTGTTGATAATCATTGGTTTATTATTGTTAACCTTCTGGAATGAAGAGAAAAAGAGTAATTCGAGTACGAAAATGCTTACGTTTTCACTCAATTTGTATGCAATTAATGAAGCTTTTAACTGTTTTTCCTCACACTAAAAACACGACTTTTTTTTCGTTCTCTTGATAATCATTGGTTTGCTGTTGCTGTTGTTGTTATCCTTCTGGAACGAAGAGAAAAAGAGAGAGAGAAAGATAGAAAAGAGAGACGCGTCTTGCGTTAATAATGATAATGCGGCGGTTAATGCTGCGGCATTTATTTAACAATTAAGGTCCTCGGTAACTGCTTTTTAAACAACACCTCTCTTCTCTTCTGTGCTTCTCTTTGTATTTCATTCTCTTTTTTATTTCATCATCATCTTCGAGGTCCGCGCGCAAACATCATGATGACGATAATAAGCGGCTCGCTCGTAATTAAACCTTAATTATTATCCGGATTCTCTCAATCTCTATCTCTATCTCTGTCTCATTTCATTGCAAAGCAAGCGGAAATTTTTACGCAAGTCCGTAAGAAAACTTAACTTAATTCACAGTTTAATCGAAGAAATGTGTTAAAAAGTAAAGAAATTATTTAATTTCTATTCAATTTAAAAATAAATTTAAAAAAAAACTTAAGTACGTAAGAAAACTTAAGGCGATAAAAGGAAGGAAATTGATTATAATCATTAGATAATTAATTTAACTCAATTTTAAGTTAATTTCACACATTTTTATTAACAAATTACGTAAGAAAACGTAAAATAACGTAAGAAAAAGTTGACGAAAATTGTAAAAAAAAAACGTATAAATTAATCATGTAATTGATTCTAAAGTAATTATATTTTTTTAAAAAAAAAACTTAAGTACGTAAGAAAACTTAAGGCGATAAAAGGAAGGAAATTAATTATAATCATTAGATAATGAATTCAACTTAATTTTAAGTTAATTTCACATGTTTTTTTAACAAATTACGTAAGAAAACGTAAGAAAAAGTTGACGAAAAACGTATAAATTAATCATGTAATTGATTCTAAAGTAAAAAAAAACAAAACAAACATTTTCGTGTCGTAAATAAGCGTTAGACCGTAAGACGTAAACGTAATTGAATTACGTATAAACGCGTTGCGCAGATAATATTTTAATTATTGTTATTAAAATTATTATCCTGAATGCTGCAGTCACGCGAACGACCGTGTTTTTAATACTTTTTTAATTTATTTGCTTTAAATTTCAACTTCTCTATTTCTTAACTTACAAAAGCAAACAAATTTTGTTTAAATTCCTAATGTAAACATCAACGTTTTTTTTTTTGCGTGAATTCAAAGAGATGACCTTTATCCAATTTCTGCCTCCAATTATCAGCATCAATTTCTGTTTTCGTTGCGAAAATTCGAAACAAATTAAATTAACTAATGATTCTACATACACAAACGATAAACTCTGCGACCTCCTCTGCTTCTAATCTCCAGCGAATAATTATCAATTAGTTTTGCAAAGAAACTCGTGCAACTTTTACAAACTTTCCTCTAATCTAAAACGTTGAGGAAAATTTGTCAAATTGGTTAAAACTTGTAAAGAAATGCGTAGATCGTTCTGTAATTGTTGCCTTTGCTACCGGTCAAAATAAAGTTTATTGCGGCCGTAAAATTTCCGAAAAATATCCAGCCGAAACATGACAATGGACGCGTTTACAAAGCAGTAAAAATTGTTCAATTCAATGCAATGTTTAAATTATTAGTTTACAACTTTATGATGGACAATTTCACAGTTTTGTGTAGATAAAGGTGATGCAGTTTGACCAAAGCTTTTGGGATAAACCTAAATGATTGGTGGTAAAGTTTTACGGGGTGTGAAATATCATAAATTTGTGAACGAGAATTTAGTACAAAAGTTTCGGTTTCGGCTTTGATTAAATTGTTAAGTTTTGAGGTGTTTAAATGAAGAGATTATTTAAGGTGTGAAATGAAGAATCGTGGATGATGTTTATGGCTTCATTTGGAAAAAAAAGAAAAACAAAAGAAAAGAAAGAGTATAAATCGAGTAGTTCGTGGCACGAAGTTTGCGGTACTAATATTTTCCGTTTGTGATATTGGTTTTACACACACAGTTTACTTGATTAATAATACGGCTACGCGTGGACGATGAAATTGTTTTCGTTCCAGGTTGCTTCGTCTTTCCGTACATGTAACGTAACGTAACGTTCATCTGTTTCGCTCTTCGGCGCGATCGCATGCGGCGCTGCCAGAGAGAGAGAGCGAGAGAGAAATAATTGTTTTAGAATTGAGCGAGAAAGAGATAAAGAGGTGGCATTAAGGTATATAATATTTCCTCCTCCACCCTTCAACTTCTCTCTTTTCGCTTCCACTTTTTTTTCTTTGTTGTACTTCTCGTGGTTTTGGTTCGGTTTGCTCGAAGAGTTCTCACGTAATGAATACGTAGCCGCATGGTATATCAGTTTGATCGCAAAGAGCTCTAACACTCTAATGGCGTGCACTCACGCGAACCGCACACTCTTAATTGACTTGTGAAATCACCAACAACAACAATTCCCTTTTTCTTTCTCTCTTTTCTCAATATTTGTTTGTTCAAAATTTGTAAAACGTTCAAAATTTGCAGAGAAAACGGGCGGACGAAGAGCGAGTCGGCTTTTTCTGTGTGGTTGAGGCGAGAGGATTTGTCCCACAGTACAAATTGGGAGCGCATTTGCATAGAATGTACCAATAAACAAGGGCCGAAGAAGCGCAAAAAAAACGCACTTAAAACTTTCCAAAAAACTCACAATCTCTTCATTAATCAAACCTACACATTCTTTATACACGCAATTTTACTAAAAAAAAATACAATTTTTAGTCTTTTTAAAACAAGATATTACAAATAATTTCAATAACAAAATTCAAAAAATTTAATTGTCTAAACAATCAATAAAATCGAAATATTTTAGTAATATCTTGTAAATGATCAATAAGAAAGTTCATAGCAAAAGAAATCATCTTAATAACTGTTATAAACTTAAAAAAATCTGCAATTTTTATAACGAAATTCGTGTCCTTTTTTCTGAACTAAATATGAACATTCATCGTCGATTTATTGCAACTAATTAACGCGAAATGTAATAAACTAACAAATATAAACAATAAATTCTTGTAACTGTAGTTTAAAAACTAAATTAAACTGAAAAATTGGTGCGGGCTTCTAAAAAAAACGTGCATGAATATTCATGAGAGTCATTTGAATCGCAAATTTCGGTCATAAATTCATCGTCTCTTTCCTTCTTTATAAAATACATAAAATACACACAAACACACAACTTATTTCTGTATTAAATTTTTGTTATTTTCGGTGCCGGTTCGTGCCTGATAAGCGCCCCATTGTCACCTTAATGATTCCATTAAAACGCGAACACTTGATTTACCTTTAAAAAACACACAAATTGAAACTTATTCCATTTTCACGTATGAAGTTTGAGTTTGAATCCGTTAAATCTACTTAATTGTTGCACATTGTGCAATTGTTGTGTTGTACGTTGACAAAAAAGCTAAAAAAAAGTTACAGCGGACATGGGAAAAGTGTACATTTCACCCTCTTCTGAATGAATGAATGACAACAACAATAAAAAGTATAATACAATATAACGAGCTTATGATTGACTTCTGAATGACAAGAATTTAACGTTATAATGCACGACTTAATCTAGTTTCACGCCCCGAGTGAATACCTAAAAAAAAGTGTATATTATATTAAATTGGGGGAATCAGATATAAGCAGATCATCCCCTCGACTATGTTTTGAACTTTTTTTTTAATAATAATTTTTGATGTGTGTTCGTCGATGCGTAAACTCTATTATTCACTCAACGTCCAATAGAAAGGAGTGTTTCATTGTTTAATTTTGTAACTTTTTCTTTTGGGTTTCAGGTCCAGATATTCCCGGTTTTCTGCTGCAACCGTTCAGGAAACCAAAGAGGATAAGGACGGCGTTCAGCCCCTCGCAACTGCTGAAACTGGAGCACGCCTTCGAGAAGAACCATTACGTCGTCGGGGCGGAGAGGAAGCAGTTGGCGCAATCGTTGTCGCTCACCGAAACGCAGGTAAATTACACCATCAAATCATCGATTTTGATTGCGTTAAGTGAATTTCGGTTTTGGGAAAATTGAGAGAGCAAATAGGAGGAGACGCGGATTAAAAATTGGACGTACTTTGTGTACGTAATCTGGGATCGTTGTGTGCCGTGGATCAAAACGATTCAATTGTTATCATTTCCATGGCGCGCG